CACTGTGTCATTCCACTGACCTCCAGTGCGCTTTCCCATTCAGGGCCTGCCTCCAGCCGGGCCCAACTACAACTGCTACATACACTGTGGCGACTCTCGATCGGAAACACTCCGCGCTGCAGCGCAGCGTTTCGTCCTCGCGCATTCTGTGCATGCGATCTGGACTGGGCGACTCCTCACTGTCAGGCCGTGCCCCTGCATGCAGGTTGCGTAACTTACCTGTTTCTTTATTCACCATCAATTTTTTCAAATGTACGGGCTCATTGCTACGGTTTTACTTGGTCATTACGCAGCCGAACGCCATTCAGAAGCGACATTTTTTCCCCGCTGAAACGAATCGGCACACTGCGCGCGGCGCGGCGCCTGTGGCACAAAAAGCGAGTCACGGCCGTGAACCCTGATTGGTCGACATAGTGCCTGCCCTGCTCTGGCAGCGCTACGCCGTGCCGTGCCGTGCCGTGCCGTACCGGGCCGCGGCGCTGCTGCCGTGTCACCGCCGCGTCCGCCGCGGTGGACAAGGACCCCGTCGGCGCGGCCACAGCGGCCGCCCTGGACAGAGACGCGACGACGGGGCGCGCGGCGCGCGGACGCGGCCTCAGCGTGAATCGGCAAGACTCGTCGTCGCCCTGCCCGGCCCGGCCCGGCCGCCGCGGTGATCGAATGCAGTTTTTCCTCCGGCATGTCGGCGTGTCACTGTGACGCAGTGACACGGGCGTAACGCGAGCGTGACGCACCGACACTGCAAGACCGACGCGACACGCGTTGCCAAGCGCTTCCCCTTCCTCCGCACTGCGAGCGCGGATTTCAATATATCGTCTGCACGACTCCAAACGCCGTGCTGCTGCTGCGCCGCGTTGCGCCTGCCCGGCGATCTGGACGGCTGTAATGGGATTCAAGGTTGCAGGAAGCCCGGCACAGCCCGGCACAGCCCGGCACAGCCCGGCGAGGCGCGCGCCCTTGGAACCAGAAGATGTGACCCTACAGATAGGGGGCGGGGAAGCGGCCCGAGCTCGGGCTAGCGGCACGGCGCCGAGACCCGAAGCATGTGTGGCCGTCGGGCCCTGGCAGGCCGTGGGGCCCAAGTCGCCGGCGGCATCTGGCGCCGTCTAATTGTGTCGACTGCATCCTGTCTCCGTGTACTTGGTGTACTTCACGTCCGATCCGGACTCCGTGCAGCGCGTCAACGGCGTCAACGCGGAGGCAGCCTGGAGAGGCTCGGCGCAGAGTCCTGCCCGGAGCACCGCGGAGTGGCGCCTCTCCTGCCTCTCCTGCCTCTCCGCGTTCTTCGTGAGTCAGCGCGGAATGGGCAGCACGCGCTTTCCAAGGTTGCGGCAACGACGCCTGCCGACTGATTCCGAGAGTCGCTTTCGTCGCCCTGTCTCTCTCGCACTCACGGGGCGTCCTGTATGGCGACGAACACGACTCTCGTAATCAGTGTACTGCCGTCTGCCGCCGTCACGGCAAAGCCGAAGCCGAGGGGCTTGTCGTGCAAAGCTATGCGGGCTGATTCAGACGCCTCTCTCGCGCCCCTAGGGAGAGCCCCGTGAGTGCGAGAGAGACACTGTCAGGGCGACGCAAGCACCGGTCGGGATCGACCTTCAGCGTGCAGGGCCGCTGCCCGAGGGGTTGTCTTCGCGGCGCCAGCGTTTACACTTCCGCGTGGAAGCCGACGACGCGGTGCTGGTGCAGCAAGACGAGGTGGACGTCGGAGGCGGCGCCGAACAGAAGCAGCAAGCAGTGCAGCCTTGTGGCACAATGAGGCCGGTACCAGTGTAGTACCGATGCCGATGCAGCCGGTGCAGTAAATGGGTTAGGCCGACCTCATTGGCTGCACGTCGTTCGTCGTTCGTTCTTGCTTGGCTTGCTGCAGCGATCGGCCGGGTTGCGTCACGTCGCCGTCGGCGGCAGTGTAGGGAGGGGCACTGATATACACTGCAAGCCAGCTGCAAGCCTTGCAGTGCGATGCACTCGCCGCCCCCGCGCCCCGCGCCGCCCCGGCCGTCGGGGAAAAAGGTGACCGCACAATGGGGAGACTTGACGCGCGGTGCAGTGTCAGGTTGGCTTGGTCGGCCGGCCGGCGTCGCGGCGTGCGGCGCGCGCCCGATAGCCCGTCCATTCCGTCCGCATTCTAGCGGCGACACGTCAAAACGGCGCCGGGAAAATCGAGGAAAGGCAGGCAGCGCAGGCAGCGGCCCGTGACGCCACTTCACTTCGCCCAACACCGCGGGGACCACTTTGCGGTGTGGCGGGTGTCGGCGCACTGGTGCACGTCCGCGACGTCCGCGGCCCGCCAGTGACAGGTGCTAATCGCGACGCGCCGACCTCGCGAGCGCCAAGGGACGCCCCCGACGACCACGGCGGGGAAACGGGGTCGTCGCCGCGGCCGCTAATCACGGGGCTGCGCATTGTTGCGTCGAGCTCGTCGGGCTCGTCCCGTCGCTGGACACTTTCTATGAGCCGCCCCCGCCCCCGCCCCCCGCATTCGCACCTCTCCAAACAAGCCGCCGCCGTTCATCGCCCATTAGAGCGGCCGCACTGATCTGCCTCAACGCGGAAAGTGTTTCCGGGACGTCGCCGTCCTGGCGGCGCCTGGCGGCCAGGCCGCGGACAGGGCAGGACGCCGCGGACGCTCTGACGCAACGCGCCACCGCCGGGGCACCACGACGGCGCCTCAACGGTGAGCACGAGGAAGATGGAAAACGTGCTGCCCCCGTGTGGCGCGGGTTGCGGGTTCGAATCCCCGCGCCGCGTCCTGTCTTTCCGCTTCCGCCAATCGGCGCGGTGAATGGCTGCGCCAGTAGGCCGCGGCGAATCGGAGACGGCTGCGTTGCTCTCTCGCTTGCACTCACGGGGCGTTGCGTAGGGTGCGACGGGAGACAGAGCGACGAGGCACTGTTCGGAACCGACCCGCCGGCTAATGATGTTGGCTCCCGACTTCCGGCGCTAATGACTGCCATTGTTGCTTTTGCTTTTCGCCAAACGGCGGCATGGAGCCGTCGGGGCACTTAGCCCGGGGCTTTCGCGGGCTGACGCAGGCGTGGCGCGGCGTGGCGGGGAGGGGTGACGGGGTTCCCAAATCGGATCAAAGCGCGGGGACAACGCGGGGCAGCTCTCGAAGGGAAGCGACGACGACGACGACGACGTGTTCCTGGAGAAGGAGGGGGCTGCCCAGTCCAGAGTTCAGGACGACTCGACGACCCACTTCGCGCTCGGCGGGATCCACGCGCCGCGCCGGCCCGCCGGCCCGCCGGCCCGTTAGCCAGAAGCAGGAGGAAGAGGAGGAAGAGGGGGACGAGGGGAAAGGGCGTGCGAGGAACCTCAGCCCGGCGGAGCTGCGGAGCAAGGAGCAGCGAGGAGGAGCCCGCAGCTGCGAAGCTTGCCTCAAGTTGTTAATGGCCTAGTTGACGTCCTTGCAGGCTGCTTGCAGGACACGGCGCCCCCGCAGCCCCTGCACACGCATAAGGCGCCTCGGCCCTGCCGCCGCTTGGCTGAGATGAGCCCTTCCCGCCGCCTGCCCGCCAGCACCGCCAGCACCGCGAGCGACGCCACATGTGCGTGCTCTTGGGGACGTTATTTTGGAAATCCTCGCCTGATCCTCCTCGGTGCGGGAGCGCGGGGGCCTCCCACCCACCCCGCCCCGTCTGGGGTTGATAGGGCGGCGCGGCGGCGGCGCGACACCCCGCGAGGCCCCGAACACGCCGAACACGCCGCTGCACCAAAAGGGCTGCTGGAGGGCGACGGCCCACCGGACAATGGCGGCCGCGCCGTTTCGCTGAGGCAACTTTCCAGCGCGGTGTCGGAACACTGTTGGAACGAAGGCGAAGTGGTGTTGCATGGCCCGGCGGAACCGCGGCGCACCTGAGGCTCAGAGAGTGCAGCACGGAGGCGACAGCTAGGACAGGACCGCGAGGCTGAAGGATGGGCGCAGGGCCTGCCGCACCCCGCCAGTCGCGGCCACGCCCCGCCACGCCGCCGCGACAGAAGTGCAGAGATATGCGACAATCTGCAGCTCAAGTCCTACAGCCTGCTGCACCACCCGCACGACCCGGACGTCATCCCAGCTGAGCTTGCTGTGCGGGCTTTTCGGGAACCGGACGTACTCCCCAGACCCCCAGACATCGGCAGGGCCAGGGCCTCCAGGGCCTCCAGGGCCTCCAGGGCCTCCAGCAGGGCTTCTTGGCACCTTTGGCAGGCCGCTTGCTGGCTTGCTGCTTCTTGGCTCGGCCTCTCGTCTCCCTCCAGCGTTGCGAGGTGAGCGGAGGGGACTGGCGGGGACTGGCGGGGACTGGGGGGAGGTGCATCAGACACTCCAAGGTTGCCGCTGTGCCGCTCTGCGGCGGGCTGCGCGCTGCGCGCTCCGACTCTCCAGCCTGCTGAGCGCTGAGCCCGCTGGACTCGGTCCCCTCTACTCCCTGCCCTGCCTGTCCCTGCCCCATTCCAGCCTTCCAGCCTTCCAGCCGCGTGGGACTACACGCCGCCACGCCACGCCGCGTGCCGCACGCCCCACCAGCCGCACCGCGTCGCAGTCACCTGAACCCCGACCTCCCCCTGCCCTGCCCTGCCCCTCGCCCTCCTCGGTGCAGGCCGCCCCGCCGCCCCGCGCCCCGCCGCCTGCACCGTGCATCGCCGTGCCACGCGGACGCGGCGCGGCAGTGACCGGTGCCGCCATCTGCCGGCCGCGCGGCGGAACCAGCACGCGGCGCGGCGGGCGGCGCTGCCAACCTCTGCGCAACAGGCATCCCCGCATGATCCCCGCCCGGGTCGGAGTGGATTCCCTGCGGCACCCTGCGGCCTGCGGGACTGAGACGAGGCGGGACTGAGAGTGGCTTTCAAACGGCGTTACTACACGGGTGCAGAGTGTTGAGTTGGTTTGGCATTTTCGCAGGTGCTTGCGCAGGTTGTGTGGACAAGCGTGTGCTTAGCGAGAGGCGTTGAGTGAAAGCAATGAGCACGTGCATGCGGATGACTCGGATGACTCGGGCAATGAATGAAAGGCGTCCTTCGATTGGTGGGCTAGACTTTATTGCACAAGCAAAGTAGCATTTATATACCGGCACCATAGTATGTACAAAGACACAGTGATTGTATGTACTATCGTAACAAAATGGGAGTGCCTTTTTTTGGACAAATAGAAAAAAGACAAGAAAGATACACACACACGATACTAGACGTATATAAATACCACTTCTTTCTCGCGGGCGCGCCGCGACCCTCATTAAGCTCAGTTCCTCTAGATTATCACACTTGCGGAGCGGCACACTTGCGGAGCCAACTCCGTACGGTGGGCCAGGCACATTTTTCAAAATCGGTGGATGGATTCGAGATTTGATTAATCCACAGCTCCTATCCCTAGACCTAACAGGAAGCCTACGCCTCTCGAAAACGAGCAACCTAGTTTTCACGTCATTTCTTTACGAAAACATTTGAATTAATGCATGACTATTTGCACGTTTGGAGTAAAGGCAGATATTCGTTAAAAAAGCGCTTCCTGTCGAAGAAAAAAGTTGCAAATTTTTGTTTTAATAGAACTAAGGGACTGTACTCTGAATAGGGGTAAAAAAGGAGTAGGGGGTTTACCAGACCCCGGAACGTCATAGAGAAATGTTGGCGCCTCATTCAACTATCTCATCTAATTTTGACTAGGTTCTTCATCGACGAAACATTTCTTAAAAATAGAACATCTGTTTTGGTTGATTAAAAATAAACTTCGTAGAATAAAAAGATGGGGAATCGAATTGACGTTTTGGGATGCGAGGTTCACCATTTTCGGTCCGCACCATTGAAAAAAGAAAAGGTGCTGTGCCTAACTGGACGGCGAACAGCTGGCGATCTCAAGCGGTACCCGAAGATTGAAAGACTTTCACCAGCTTTTACGGCGTTGTACAGCCATCCCAAACTTGATTTGCCTTGTGAAAAATAAATTCAAAATGAGGGGCTTACAAGAGACGCTCTCAGTCTGTCCTATTTTAACAATACGTTTAGTTTATATCGAAGCAATAAATACTATGCCCAACGCAATTATAAAAAAAAGGTCAGCTCCTTTGAACATGAGAACTTAGGAACTGAGAACAACAGTGATTTCATAATAAACAATAGAAGCGTAAATACAAACACATCTCCCTTTCCTTATTCATACCAACATATCAACACAAACTTCGCGAAGCCATTCAACAAATAATCTTACATAGTCCAACATGTTTTGGCACTGAGCTTGACAGCTTCCATAGTAGCCTACTCAGTACGTCAATTCAAGACCAAAATCTCTATTTATTTCGGGGGAGCAGTATCTTGCCAGCTGCCAGACAGAGGGAACCAACAGTATACAAACAATAAATTAGCTTATAAATTTTTTTTCAATATGAGTTGAGTTTTGATTTGAGTATTATAGCTGAAGCAATTATAACATCATTCTCTGCCTTTGGCCCACTCACACAAAACACAAAACACGCCGAAACAGCTCTCACATCACATCCGTCAATGATTTGCATAGAGTATCACAAAATGCTCTCGGGACCAAAGTCCCCAAGGGGCCTGCTCGGGGCCCTCAGGAGCCCCGGCCCTCTGAGGCCCTGTCGGCCCTAAGCGCCTTCTCAAACAATATGTACACAACTTGTGGAATAGATACAGGAAGACCATTTCGGAATTCAGTGTTATTACAAATATCACAAAATCGATTCTAGAGCTAAAACGACATTAGCTTTTGTGGCGCTCTAGCCTTGCAGGTTCCTGCATTGTCTCTTGTGTATTTGCAAAGTATTTAACAATGGGTTTTTAAAAAAGACGCAACGTCCACCGTTTAGAAGAGAAATATTCACATGAGGCCAGCGAGGCCACGCCTTTACCGGTCCTTCGGCGGCCAGGGCGCGGACCCCTCCGCGTTCTGTTGGGAGCTCCTGACACACCTTCGGAATTTAAAATTGGCCATCGAAGTGTCAGGAACTCCCAATCAATCCCTAGGGGGCAGTGTGCCTTCGGGTAGGACTCCGGCCGCGCGGTCCGCCCAGGACTCCGAGGCGAGCGATCACGCCACGGATCCGGAGGACTGCGCCGACCTGGACGTGCGCGGCGGCGACGTTCTGCCCGTTCTGCTCTCGCTGCTGGAGCGCGGCGGCGGCGTCCCGGGCGTCCCGGGGTTGGTGCCGGGCGTCCCAGGAGTCCCCGCCGCCGAGCTGAGGGCGCTGGCGTTGGCGCTGGCGGTTGCGCTGGCGGTGGCGCTGGCGGTGGCGCTGGCGGTGGCGTTGGCGCCTGGGGTTGACGGCGTCCCTGTGAGCACGTCAGGGCGTGTGCGTCAAGACACAGCGAGCCCCAGGCCCCAGAGCCCCGCCCCATGGCGCCACCGAGCTAGTCTGGCCTCGCCTAGCGCGCTACTCAGACTCTCAGACCCGCGTGGAGGGCAAGTGCAGGTCCGTCACGGGCACGCTGGCATGGCCGTGGCCCGCGTGGCCAGCGTGGCCCGGCCCGGACTCACCTGGTGGCCTCTCACCCTGTGGAGACACCAGGCTGCCCGCCAAGCTGCCCGCCAGACTCCCCGCCAGGCTGCCGTCCGCAGTGTTGTTGGCCGAGCCGTTGGAGGGCCCGTTGGCGCTGCCCAGGCTGCCGTTGGCCGTGGAGGAGCCGTTGGCCGAGACGAGGTTGTTGTTGTTGGAGGCGGACGAGCGGCGGCGCGCCAGCACCGAGTTGCCGTTGTCTCTGGACGGGCTCTTGACGTCGAACACGGACGAGTCGCTCTCCAAGTCGGACTCCACGTGCGACCAGGACATCTGCAGAGAGAGGAAGCGGACCGCGGGTTAGGTCAGGGTTCCGCGATGCCATCAAGGCGCGGGCGCCTGTCACTCCGAGGGTATGCAGTCCCGCCCGCACGCCAGTCTTGCGGGCCTGCCTGCCCGGCGTGCTCCGTAAGGGGCAATGGCGCCTGGCAGCAGGCGGTCCCGGATGCAGCCCAGTTCGACGGGACTGCCTACCCGACGGCGCGCGGGCGGCCGCGGCGGCGGTACTCACTTGTCTGGTGCCGGGGTGCGGCGACAGCCTCTCCGAGGTGTCCGAGCCGCAGGATGACGACTCGCTCAGCTCCTGGGCGAACTTGCGCTGCGCGCGCGGGCTGGGCGGCGGCCGCCGGCTGCACACCTGGGCCTGGATGAGCTCGCACAGACGGCGGAAGCGGCGGATGTTGCCCGACAGCAGGGTGAAGGTGATGGCGTACAGGGGGTCCTGCGGGTCCTTGGCCACCGAGGACAGGTCCACCTGGAAGCGGACCTGCCGCTGGAACATGGCCGGGCCTGCCGAGCCGCGGCGGTACTCCACCCGGAAGGACAGCGGCGACACCACGGAGTGGCTCAGCTCCGCTATCTGCAGGGACCGAAGGACAAGGACCGCGTCAGCAAGCGTCAGCGAGCTTCAGAACGGCGCGACTTCGGGCGCGAGTAGTAAGGGAGGCCCACAGTGGCGTGCCGCCACCATGGCCGCCCCTTACTACTGGCGAGGCGGCTCACCGAGAGGAAGGCGTGGATGAGGTCGGCCTTGACGTTAGCCAGCGGCCGCCCCTTGAGCAGGATCGTGAAGGTCTCGTCCCGCTCCGTGGCCATCAGGGACCCGAACCACGACTTCTTCGTTAGTTCCGGAGAGGACTCGGGCGTCAGGTGCACCTCCTCGGACGACGCTGCAAGAAGAGGGGATTGTTGCAGCACGGGAAAGCACTGTTCTGGATGGGCCTGCTGGCGCTGTTCTGAGACTCACCCTGCAGCTTCCGGCGGTGGAAGCGCGGCGAGCCCAGGAAGGAGTTCTTGAGGGTGTTGAGGCGCGACCGCCAGTGGGTGCCCGCGCTCACGCCGGAACTCACGCCCGACGCGATGGGCGAGCCGGGCGGGGTGAAGGGCCCCAGGCTGGCCAGGGTGCCGCCTGCGAACAGAAGGGGCGCGTCAGTGTCAGTGCGCCCCCGCGACACTCGCTGTGAAAGCGCGCCAAAGTCGTCCGCCGTTATCGGCAGCTATGCGAGAAGCATTCGGCACGGACGAGTGGAGGGCGACGAGTGCGGTCTGGAATGGCAAAGGCGTCGGGGAGGCTGGCCGGTGGCACCGCCAAGGCACCGCCAAGGCACCGCCAAGGCACCGGCACTGCTAGCGACTGCACAATGAGCAGGCGTCTCGTTCCCCACGGCGGCGGGCACTGCACTGCCAACCAGGCGGCAAAAAAGGCGGAATGGAGTTCGATTATTTGCAGCTACCCGTACCCCTTACCAGGACACTAGCCAGATAGAAAGAGTCTGGTGCAGCTAGTTTCTAATAATCCATCAAGAGGACAGCTATTTACATGAGCAGATATATTTCTACGAGTCCCCGATAAAAATGAAGTGTTCACTGGTAGTCGATGATCAGGGGAGTATCAAAACGACAACTCTTTGAGTAACAAGTAACGCAGCACTTGACAACAGGTTAATTGGTTACACTTCAATTTCACCAGGGATACCAACACTAACAGAAAGATACGATACGAAGAAAGTAAACAATTAGTACGCTACAAGTAGTCATAAACCCCACGAAGTGTACAGCTACCGCCGTCTAGTGCCAGGCGTGAGGCAGTATAGAAATCTAGTTTCGGGTGCAGTGTGGCATTCGGCAGGCACGAGAGGCGGCGTCTGCTGTGCGTGTTCCCCGCCACCGTTTCAAAAACCAAAACAAATGCGGAAAACAAGTGTAGTGTAACAACGGTCTGCGAAAGCGAGGTGGGGCGTCAGCTTGAAGGCCGCGATAGAGTGCGGCCGCGGTCGGCAACCCAACGCAGTCGCGCGGTACCGGTCGCCGTCAAGGCTTCCCGTCAAGGCTTCCCCAGGCTTCGCGAAGCACCGGGATTGCAAGCAGCAGCCTAGCCGAGCCTAGTGTGCTGAGTGAAAGTGTTTTGTACCGGGCGCGCTGCGCAGTACGATGGCAGGGGGTGGGGGCGGGGGCGTGCTGAGGACGTCCCCGCCGCCCCCAGAGCTGCTGGAGCCCTCGCCGCTCGACGTGGACGCCTTGCGCGACCGGTGGCTCGCCGACGAGCCGCCCCCGGAGCTCGAGGCACCGCTGCCGGCCCCGACGCCGCCAACACCGCCGCTGCTGTTGTGGTGGTGGTGGTGCTGGCGCGCTACACACAGAGTCATGGTACAGAGTCACGCCGTGTGCTTGGCCGCGCCGCTGTCGCGCCTCCGCGCCCCGCAAGGCCCCGCGAGGCCCAGCTGCCCTGGTGGACCTCAACAGCCTCGACATGCCCGCGCGCCACCTGGACGCCAACAAGTACTCACCCGACGCCGAGTTGTCGCCCGAGCTGTCCACGCTCTCGGCGCGCGCCCGCTGCACCATGGGGCTGCCGGGCACGGACTGCTGCCCCGTCACGGCCGTGGAGCTCGTCCGGGACGCGCTGTTGTTGTGGTGGTGATGGTGGTGGTGATGGTGGTGGTGGTGGCGCTGCGGCAGCGGAGACAGGATGCCCGCCAGCGCCGCACTCGGCCCGCTGCTGCCCGAGCCCACCGAGTTCTGCTGGTTGGTGACGGCCACGGACGGCGCCAGCGGCCGCCGGTGGTGTCGCGCGCTGCAAGCAGGAGGTACTCCGTAAGGACGTGCACGCCGGCGGGGAGGATGGGCGGTCTGGCCGACGGGCCGCCCTGCCTCCCCCGTCTATAAAGCGCCATTTGGGATTGCTGTTTAGATTGGGTCGTTACACCGAGCGGCCATGTCTGCCTCGACCTTTACCCTCCGTCTGGCTAGGCCGCGCGGCCGCCGTGGCCGCGCTGGGCGCGCCGTGGTCGAGCCCCTCGCCTCGCCCCTCCAGCCACCCCCTTTATGGAGGCCCGCCACAGCACAGCGCGGCACAGCGCCCCAGGGCCGCTCCACCCGAAAAGCGAAAAGGCCCGTGTACTCACTTGTAGGCGACCCTCCTGGGCGTGAGCGGGCTGCCTTCGGAGATCCTGCCGAAGGACGTGGAGGTGCCGTTCACCTTGCAGACGTCCACCCGCTTTCTGGGCGGGTCGGGCGTCTCGAGGCGCGTCCGCAGCGCCGACTCAGTCTCGTCCTCGCAGGCCGGCCGCCGCCGCTTGCGCTCCAGCAGCAGGAAGTAGATGACCTTCTCCGTGTTGTGGCTGCGGAACCGAGGGGAGAAACATGTCAGAGCCAAGGAAACACTTGGGAAGCCAGGGAACCCAGAGCTCGAAGTTTCCGAGAAACGGTTCGGTTAGGACCCCTATCCGCGCGGCCACGCCTATGCATTCTGCTGCGGGTGGGGGCGCCGCGTCCCGAGTCCCGGCATTTCGAGACCCCACCGAAAGGGTTGTGCTCCCGACGCTGGATCGGAGAAAGAGTCGGCCGTCATCGCCGAAGAATTCCATCCGAGGGGGTTGCCTCGAAGGAATACCAGCCGGCAGCATTCTGGCCGTGACGGCCAGGGAGGGGGAGGGGGAGGGGAGGTTCGCCTAGGTCCGCCCATTCGCAGTGACAGCCTCGCTGTCCCGCTCCGCCGCTCCGCTGCTCCGCCCGGTTCTCCATCTCGGCCGCAATAAACCACTCGGCCGCACCGGCGTCAGCCTCGTCAGCCGGCCCCCCTATCAATCAGGCCCCGGCCGGTGCCCGGTCCTGGTGGCATCGCGGCCCGGCACTTACTCGGAGCTGAGCAGCTTCTGCACCAGCTTCTCCCGGTCCTTGAAGCAGCCCAGCGAGGTGATGGCCTGCAGCACGTCGGTGTCCATGGCCTCCTCGGACGGCAGCACGTGCGTCTGCACCACCTCCATCATGGGCAGCTCCAGCTCCAGCTCGCCCTTGCCGCCCGCCGTCACCCAGCTGTGCCTGTTGATATCGGCCAGCTGCAACAAAGGGCCAATCAGGACCGCGAAAAAGGAAGGGTCTGCATGTGGGGGGACAATTGGCTACACTCGTTCGGGAGCAGCGTTGCAAATTTGATCGAAATAGAGACGGAAATCTGTTGTTTGACGAAAGTGCGCAGGCTCGGACTGGCCAGGGCAGAAAAATCTGCCGGAGCCTTCGGGTTTGGCACTGGTAACGTCACAAAGTTGGTCAAAGAGTGACTGAATCTCCGAAAGTATAGCCGTTTTCGCTGAGTTTGGGCGGCCACTGCGTACGATCTAGTTGCGGCGAACGGCCTACCCGACGCCCTAGTATTTTTAAAGACCCTACTCTTTCATGCCCTATATCGGGAAGACGTTGACCACAACGATTTTGGCTTTGACCGCAACGTTTTTCCGACCAAGTTGGTCAAAAAGTGGTCGAATCTCGGAAATTTGCTGACTTTGGGTGGCCACTGTGTCCGATCTAGCCGTCGTAAAAGGCCTCCCTCGACGTCCTAGTATTCTTAAGACCTTACTCTTTCATGCCCTGTGTCGGGAAGACGTTGACCACAACGATTTTGGCTTTGACCGCAACGATTTTCCGACCAAGTTGGTCAAAAAGTGGTCGAATCTCGGAAATTTGCTGATCTTGCTGATTTTGAGCGGCCACTGTGTCCAATCTAGTTGCCGTAAAAGGCTTCCCTCGACGTCCTAGTATTCTTAAGACCCCACTCTTTCATGTCCTGTATCGGGAAGGCTATGGACCGCAACTAGTTTGGGAGCGGTAGCCTCACAAAGTTGGTCATGAAGGGTAAAAACATAATGATGATCGGGGGCCTTTTGCGGTCTTATCCGCTGGGGCCTTTTGGGGGCCAGTCCGAGCCTGAAAGTGCGGAGTAAGTACGTACCGTGAGCCTCTTCTCGGGGTTAACCTCGATCATGCCGCGGAGCAGGTTCTGGCAGTCGGGCGGCACGAAGTGCGGTATGTGGAACACGCCCCGCTTCACCTTCTCCAGGAGCTGGCGCAGGTTGTCGTCGTCGAAGGGCAGCGCGCCGACCAGCAGCGCGTACAGGATCACCCCGCACGACCACACGTCCGCCTTCCGGCCGTCGTACTTCTCGCCCTGCAAGTGGAACGCAAGTCAGACACTCGCTCGGCCATCGTCATGGGGCGCACAGTGGGCCAGAGGATCCCGTCAAGATCCCGGACGGCTCTTGAGCTCCAGAGTCGCTGAATGGGGATCGAACCGAACGTGTGACCCCACCAATGGATTGCTCTCCGGACGAGGAATCCATTGGTGGGGTCACACGTTTGGTTCGAGTCCTGTTTAGCGACTCGGTAGCTCAAAACGCGTCTGGAGTTTTGGCCACCTAGACTTTCCCCGAGAGCACTCACCCTGATCACCTCCGGGCACGCGTAGTGGGGAGAGCCGCAGGACGTCTCCAGCATGCTGCCCGCCGGCTGCAGCGACGCCATGCCGAAGTCCGCCACCTTGATGTTGTTCTTCTCGTCCAGCAGCAGGTTCTCGGGCTTCAAGTCGCGGTGGCTGCGGACACAGCGAGGGAACATGTGAGCACTCTCGCAGACTTAGATGACGTCACTCACTTTCGTCGGAGAACACTCACCATATTGAATGGCTATGGCAGAAGTCTAGAGCTGAGATAATTTGTCTAAAAAACCGGCGGGCCTCCTTGGGGGTGAGACGGCCCTTCTTCACCAGGTAGTCGAATAGCTCACCGCCCGACACGTGCTCCAGCACCAAGTACCTGCCGACGACAACGTCTCTTGAGCACGAAATCCGAAAAAACAACAACACAAACAAGAACGGCCGTGTCGTCAATTTGCCGAGCGGCCGGGCCACTTACAGGTACTTCTTGTTCTCGTAGACGTCGGACAGCCCGAGGACGTGGGGGTGGTCCACTAACTTCATGATTGCTATCTCCCTCTCCACCTGCGGAGTGGAGTGGAAAAAAACACAAAAAAACACAGTTACACTTGGCGAACTTTTCCCCGTGATTCGGTGGGCGGGCCAGGCCAGGCCAAGCCAGGCCAGGCCTTCCCTTTTCTGCAGAGCACTTGCCTTCATGAGGACGGACTCGCTCAGCTTCTCCCGGTTGATGATCTTGATGGCGACCTTCTTGCCCGTCACACACTGCACGCCTAGCTTCACCAGTCCTGCAACACACCGGAAGCGAAAACATGAGTGTCCGTCGACCAATTTGTGTTCCAAGACGTCTGATTTCAGGGCGTGCCCTAGGGCGTGTCGGACCAAAAAGCCTGGTCCTGGCGTGGGCTTTGCCTCATGCGTGTGCTACATTGTGGAGGTGAATTGACGAGTGCTTCCAGTGGAGTGCCCCCCCCCCCCCTCCGTTCCGCCAACGCCTTATCCCTCGCCTCATCCACCGCGGCGGGAAAGCGCTCCGAAATGAGTAACGATGCGCGTCCATGCAGTTAAACACTCAGTCCGCGTGTCCGGGCCGCCATAAATTTGGGCCCGCGGTCCAGGAATAGCTCCAGCAGACTGACTCCGAGAGTCCTCTCAGTCGCTCCGTCTCGCTCGCACCTATACGCCAGGCTCCATGAGTGCGAGAGAGACAGAGCGACGAAAACGGCTCTCAGTCTGCAGTCGCGTAATTAACGCCCCTCCTCCGTGCAGCCGGCCTCGCGTCCAGGTTGGTGCGGTCGGGGTGGGGGCGGGGGGCGGTGAGGGGCCGGAGGTGTGGAGGTAACAGGCTCTACTATTTTTGTCTTACAGTGGCGAATGTTACTCGGGGAGGCCCGGGGCCGGGGGCTCCACGGACCGGCTGTGTGGCCACCCCGCCCTGCCGCACCACCCCGCCCCGCCCCGCTCCTCCCCTCCCACCGGATATCGATCCCTCCTCTTCCGTCCGCGCCACGCCACGCCACGCCGCGCCACGCTGCGCCACGCCGCGGCCAGGGCCCGCACTGCCGCACTTGGGTCAGAATCAGAAAAACCTTTGCAAAATGTCTACCATGGAAACGATTTGAGTTCTCGATGTGAAATTTCTGTGAGGGGGGTTTGAGGTGCGCTGAATCCATTTCTGGCGTCAATTTGAGTCAGTGGCGTACCCTAGACCCAGTGGCGTAGCCATGAAACAAAATTTTCAGAAATCTTTCCGAATGTTTACTTGCCGAAGTGTTTCCAGGTGCGCTGAAACCATTTCTGGCGTTATTTTGAGTCAGTGGCGTACCCTTGACTCATTGGCGTAGCAGAACAGCATGAAAAGTGGCGATACACATCGGCAACTTTAGCTTGTCCCGTACATTTAAAAATTCTCGAATTACGCCTATGTTTAACCGTTTCGGGTTTTGAACCTAGGTCTGGGTCTAAATGAATGTTATTTTCGTCATTAGCAAACCCAAAAACATATTAAAGAATGCAAAGATTGATTTTAAAAAAAATGGTCCCCCCACCGGGATTTGAACCCCGGGGCCAAACCTCTCCGATTTGCTGGAAACTAGCACCGTTGGTTTTTTCTTGTCGCCCCGATTCCAAAAATACCCCTGCATGCCATTCTCGCTGCATACTGTGCCTAAATCGGGCGTAAATCCTCTTCGACCCTATGTAGACCATGATGCACCTGCTGCACCAAGCCCGGGGCTCGGATCGGATTTGCTGCCACGGGGCAGCTCTAAGGGTCACCCAAGGAGGCTGCATACCAAATTTGGTGAAGATCGGACCACGGGAAGTCCCAAAACGAACGAACAGACGAAACGGACGCATAGCACGCATCACACTAAATGTTTACGAATATCGCGCCTTTTGGGCCTCTCGGCGCAAATTGGCGCAATTCCGCTTGGTGCATTCGAAAGGGGACACTTTAAGCTTCACATCGCGATAAGAATCAGGAGGTTGCAAGAGGTTGGCAAAGTTTGGCAGCCTGTTTTGTGAGAGAAAATGTATAAAAATATTGACAAATGTGCATGGTCACTTGGTTTTGGCTCTAGCGGCAAAACTATAAACGCTACCTGAAAAATTTTGGTACCAATGGAAAACGAGGTCTCAAACTACGGGTAACCGTGCTTGTACAATCTTCAAACGAAGTAGGTCCCGTAGAACGACGCTGAAAGAAGGTACATTTTCTCCGCTCCGCGCTGGGTCGCGCGCTTGCTTCCAAACGGTGGCGACAAAACGTCGAGCCTGGCGACCAGGTGGGGGATAGAGACGAAGTTTTTTCGTTTTTTTAGCAGCGTTGACATTCCTTTTTCCCAACCTACGATCTATTTTCCCACAATTCAGAACTTGACGAATCGTCATATTGCAAAGGTTTTTCCGATTCTGACCCACAGTGTGCCGCCACGCCAGAGTCCGCGGTAGAGTCCACGCCGCCTGGCCGCCCCCCTCGATGCGCCCCGCGCCGCCCCCGCCACCCCCCGCCACCCCCGCGCCGCCGCGCCGGTAGCCATCCCGTGCATGAATGGCCTGGCGTGTGCTGCTGCCTCCGCGCGCCGCACGCGCCACGTGAGCAGGACCGCCGAGGCGGTCGCTGGTTCGAATACCACCAGTGACGGCACTTTTCCGTTTCCGCGCCGCATCGTTGCCCGCACTGCTCTGTGCGGGCGTGTGGGCGCGGACGTGCGGGCGGCGAAGCAATCCTGGAAAGCGGCGAAAAAAGAGGCCCTTCGCGCGTCCTTCGTCCTTCACGCCAAACAATGCTGGCGCGCTGCGCGCTGGCGCCGGGGCGGGCTGGGGCCGCCACATCCACCCCATCCCATCCCACCCTCCAGCAGGACACATGCGCTGCCCTGTGTGTCCGCCGTGCATGTGTCTGTGTGAGTGTGTGTGTGTGTGCCGCAGCGGATGGCGCTGCTTCTCTTTGCCAGGACCTCGCCAGGGCCGCCGGGGCCGCCGGGGCGGTGGCGCGGCGAGCGGGTCCCGAATTGCTAAGCAGTGTCGGAATGAGAATGGATGCTTATGAGGATCCGATGGCGGTCCCCCGCTCGGTCCCCCGCTCGGTCCCCCGCCAGGCGGCCCCACCACGCGCACGGACGGGTACCGACGGGGCAGCAAAGGGATCCAGGACGAGCCAGGGCCATGGGCCAGGATCCAGGGGATGTAGCGGCGAGGCCCTGTCGCGCCTCTCGTGCTGCTGGCCTTGCTGGCCTTGCTGGGTGGCTGGCCCTGCTGGGGCTGCTCCAGGCACGGCTCACCTCTCCTCCCTCGGCGCCAGAAAACGACCAGCGAGGCAGTACGGGGCCAAGTCGGCCAGGGCGGAGCGGCGGAGCGGCGCAGCCAAGGCGTGGCGCGCGGGGCGGGGCGGGGCGGGGCGGGGCGGGGCGGCTGCGGCGCTGAGGGTTTCGGGGCCTCATGCATGCCCTGCTTCGTGTCCTCGCCGCGGGGCCCCTGCCCGTGCACAAACCCACGTAACGGGGTCGAGCTAGTGCACAATCGCCACGTAACAGACGGCGTCGCCGGGGCCGCAGAAGCGGGTCGCTAGTCACGGGCACGGCCGTGTCTTTGTCGCTTGGATTTTCGCCGCCGCCCGACCCCGGTCCCCGCTCAGACCGCCTCATTTATGTATAAGCAGTGCCGTGCCGCCGCGCTGCCGCGCTGCCCTGCACCCGCGGGACTGGATGGCCTCCTCCGGCATGCTGCAGCACCTACCGGGGAACATTTCTCTTGCCGCCCCACTACGGGGCCCAGGATGCATGCCTCTGCTCTGCACCGGCCCCAGGCAGCCCCAGGCATCCCCAGCCACGTCCAACATGTATCACCGAGGGCGGCGCGGCGCTCAGTACAAAACTTAACAGAAAAGGTAGGGTAAGGTGCCCAGTGATGGCCACTTTTAGCGCACTGATGCGCCTTTAACCCCTTTACTAAGCGTCCCGCACGTCGTACCGGTATGAAAATTTCCAGAAACATAAAAGAAGGATAGAGTAAAGGTTCCCAAGGGTAGAAACCAGCAAAATAAAATTTATTCTTTGAGAAAAAATTAAACCCAAAATATCAGTACAGTTTGCCCAGTAATGGCCACCTTTTGCCCAGTGATAGCCAGGGTCCCGGCCCAGTGATGGCCACACTAGGGTTTGAGCGCTTTGTTTTTGTTTTTGACAGTTATTGAACCCAATTTCAGCTGGTTTGCACCTTGTTCGAAGCTACAGGGGTCACTGTGTCTTAGGAAACGGAAATCAGTGTAACCCTGGGAACCTACCCTGGGAATCTACTTGTGTTTATACCATAAATATAGAATTAAAGTTAAAATTTCAAGTTTGCGATAGAAAAGATTTGGTTTCCGAAATGATTTGATCTCGAGAAGGTGAACATGTAATGTTAAGCATGTTATAGGTACAGACTTCAAATTCAAAGGTTTATCGGTGTCCAAAGTGGAAAAAGGTACAAAATGCATCTTTTTTCCTGTTTCAAGGCCGATAACTTCTGAAAATCAAGCCTGAACCTAAAACTGCTTAACATTTTTTGTTCATCTTGTTGAGGTGAACGCGTTTCTGAAATCGAATTGTTTCTATCGCATATTTAAAATTTTTACTTAAAAACAAAACTTATTGTACGTACGGAGTCTAAACAGTTTCCATGGTACCGTGAATTCAGGTCCCCCTGAGGCAGGCGGAGTGAGATGCCAGGTCAAAAACCCAAAATATTTCAGGCAACAAACTAGACGGACATGCACGGCGTCGCATCGCTCGTTGCAAAGTCTGCCTCAAAACACTAGTGTGGCCATCACTGGCTGTGCACTGTTTTGCCTGCCCAGTACTGGCCACCACCCCCTTTTTCCCCCAAATGTAACGAAATTTCAAAAAAACTTGCATGTTATGGTTAACTTGCCCCTTTCGATTCTTCTGACGTGATGTTTCTCTTGCACGGACCTCGTATTCACAAATGACAAGCGACGCCGTTAAAGCCTGCGCTAATCTGGGCCGGTAAGGAAAGCAACGTTCGACCGGTCGAGAACGCAGTGTTCAGCGCGCTGCGCCCGTGCGGCCGTCCCTAACACTAAAAAGCTGAAATTTTTTCGGCGTTGTGTTGTCAATATGTGACAGAACAAAACCTCAAAAGCTCAATTCTTTAACTAATCTCGCCTGGTGGGGAAAGTCAGCGCAAAGTGTGAAGTGGCCATCACTGGTACCCTGGCCATCACTGGGCACGTTACCCTAAAGTGATATACCACTCGGCCAGATTGCTCTTGCGAGCAACGCGG